TATTTTATTGTATCGAACGTATGAAATTATCAAATTGCCCTTGAGACATGAACATTGACTTTCGTTGACCATCTCAACGTAACGTGTATGACTAATTTTCTTAGTTTATTCTTTTTGTAATCATCACCACGAACGCGTGGGCACGAACGGATTCGAATTTGGAGTTATAACAAAGATTTTACGTTACGAAACGTCCAACGTTTTTCGAATATTTCGTGTTTCGTCTTTAATGACCTTAATGTGTGAGCCATTGGGGCCCACAATGAATTCTTGTCCCCCAATCCTCTCACTTTTCCCCATGGTCCCCTCTCCTTTTTCCCATTTCTGATATACCCGTCTCTTTCTCTCAAAACTCCCTATCTCTTTAAGCTCTCACTCTCGGTCTTCTCGTTTCTCTCTGGAACTGCCCTCCCCAAGGGCACCACACACAACAACAACAAACAACAATGACAACACCTCCCACCACCCAACAACCCTAGTTGTGAACCCAGAAACGAACGAGAAACACCCCAAAACCCCTCCTCATTCGCTGCACAGTGAACTCACTGTTCACCGAAGCTCTCCAACGAGTTTCCATGTTCTTCGACGAAGGTAAGCCTCAAACCTCGTCCAAAAGTTGTAGATCATACTTTGATGTATGTTTAGGAGTAGTTTTGAGATGTTTGGTGATGTTTGGACGTAGGAAACCCACAAGGAAAGCTTCCCCAGCATTCCAGCAAGGACCACCACTTTGCAGCTATTTTTCGGCCAACTCTGGCCACCACTCGATCACAACTTGGTATGAATCTCTTCTCCTCGTGTCAAGCTTCATTTGGCTTTTGAAACATCGAAAATGGTTGAGAAACAAGCTTGAACGAAGCTCGAGAAGTTGAGCCCAGAAACCAGCCAGTTTCAGGCCTTGCAAAGAAGGTGAGTAGTCTTTACTCACGGGTGGGTGGAGCACAGACACCTCCGCAGGAGGTACTGTGCTCTGCTGCTTTCCACGGTGGAGCTAGCAAATTTTCTGGCGACCCATCTTGGCGCGTAGTGTCCTGTGGCCTCCTAGGCCACCGCCCCGTGGTGGCACTTGGGGCAACCCAAGGTCCGCCCTTAGGTTTTTCGACATCCTAAATTCGATTATGACGTTCGTTTTCCCAAATTCGATCATTTTAGTAGAGTTATTAATTGGTCCCTTTATGTACTTAGGTGCGTTTGTTAGTGGCGTTTCCGTCCTCCCTAGTTCAAACGACTCTTCGGCGACAGAATATTTGTGAATGGATCCCTTCCAAAATGCATGATTTTATTACTAGAAATGCATACATAAAAAGCATGATTTTATGACTACGTTTTATGAAATGTTTTTTGAATTATCGGATTTACGCTTTATGAAATATCATGCTTTATCAAATTTACGTTACTAAGATATTTATGAATATGATTTATGATATGATGTTTAAGCTATTGAGCTCCGATGAGACATATTTTGGAAAGATTATGTTCATGATTTTTTGTGCTTACTTAGTGGATATTCATACATATGTGCCTTCGGGTGGAAGATATTTATATATGCCTTCAGGCGGGCGATGTAGTGCCTTCGAGCAATTGTGATACCACTACTAAGCACACTATATATGATATATGTTTTACGAAGGTTTTATGGCATGCTAGGGTTTTTGAAAAACCTATTACTTATTATGCTATATGAATTTTCTAAAGCTGGGGGTTAGTACGTTGAAGAATAACTGTTTTAGTATTACAATATATAAATTTGGTCCACTCATGTTTTGTTTTGCGCCCCCTCAGGACCTAGGAACGAGGCACACGACCCGAGCTACGAGGCATTCCCATATCAATGAATTTGTGTCCTCCTCTTTCTGTAGGACATCTTTTGTAATTGCACCTTCTAATATTCCTTCCGCTTGTTTTTCGATTTAGTAGTATACTCTGAACATGTCATGCATTATCACTTTTAAATTGTTGGTAGTTGAATATTATATTTTATTAAGGTTTGTACTTGACTACTTTATTGCGTTGTTACACGTGAATTTTATATGCATGCTTTACATGTTCTCAGCATATGCATTCATGAAATAGCTTGCATCACCCTCGGGTGTCAACCAGCACGTGGCTATCTCGTTGTCCTTTGGACACCAGGATTGGGGCGTGTCTACCAACCAAACGTTGTCCAACGGTCAAGTTAGTAAGCTATATTGTGACTCAAGCAGTGGGCAAGAAAATAATATATATGTTATGGAACATATACCAAAGTTATGCTCTAGATAAGTATATTTATACTAATCGGGAGATAGACTTTTTAACATAGATAAATAAAACATTAATTAGTGTCAATACATTATAAAAATTAAGGGAAATACCCAAAAATAGGACAATTTCTTTATCTTGGGACAGAAATAGGACATTTCAAATATGCACACGAGGCTTAGGTCTCTGATCAAAGGTGTTAATTTTTTTGTGGATGCATTTTCGTCAAGACTGAAGACGGCGAAAATTTGTATCGACAATTATACTTTGTGAAAATCCTTTGAAAAACCATGCAACCCTTAAGACATGGTGTTCATCTTAAGTGAAATTGCATTATTAACCACAAGAAGCCAGAGTCAATTTCAGGGAACCTTCCGACCAAAATTGCTTCAAATTACTTTTCTAAATATCTTAACGGTGGTCAAGTATTAAGACAATTAGATAGTTTAAAGTGGTGATCAATAATTCAAAGCGTGCATGCAATCAATCATAAGCAATTAAATAAACATTACATATCCATGCTAAGGCTCAAGGCTTCGCCCTATCAAAACAAATTAGTTACGCATATTCATAATTAAAATCATAAAAAATATTATTATGAAGAAAAAGATTGAAAACACCTTAAAGTAAAAGTCTGAAAATCTTCAAGAACTCTAACCATTTTCCTATCTCCAAAGTTGCGTAAAAGAAGAAGTAGAAAGAGACTAGTGCCGGCCAAAGCCTTATATCGCTACACATAAACGATCCCTCAATAAAAGTCTTTGGCTCCAACTAGGAAACCAAATAATAATAAAATATAATAGAAAATAAAGTCCTAATTAAGTTAGGAGAATCTGTAAAGGAACTGTTCAGCCACATTTTAGCCTCAAATATCCTCCAAATCTGGTCTATGACAACTTGGTTTAAAGATTGGAACATTCTGAATATATATCTAGAAGGGGCTGAATCCAAAATAGGTCATCTTAAGCTCCAAAACTCGCAATCTAGCCTAAAATGTAACTTTTTCAGTACCACGTACTACTCCTTTATTCTATTTCCAGAAAATAACCGCTTGGTGGAAAAATCTGATATTTTCACACGATCTAGTTAAGCAACTCATGAACGCCCTCCAACTGGAATTACTCCAAAATTTATCCATTTGGTCACGTTTTGCCCCAGAGGAAGTCGAAAGTCCTATATTGAAAATATAATTCAAAGTATCAAAATTCTTCCAAAATAATAGCCAAAATATACTAAGAATAGGATTAAATATATAATATAAAATCTACTCATCACTTGCCTCGGAATCAAAGGAAAAAGTAGTATACGTTAATGTGAAAAGTATCAAAGATGTAAATACACACCATCTACACAAAATACACTATATGCACACCACATGCACATAATATGTACAGTACATGCACATGATATGCATATAACGAGAGAAACTTTAACAGCAACATATTGGTATAATGGATACAATTAAAACATAATTGTTATGTATATAAGGTTATAGTGACAGTTTGAAAAGTTTTGTTACGTATATCAACTACCGCTTAACCGTGCACATGAAAAACATGTTACTCGTTGTCGTTATTTCACAGACACACATAATCCTTAATATCCCCTAAGTTTTTTTCTTAATTTTGTTTTTCGCCGAGGCTAACTAGGTTGTGGTCATACTCACTAAATTCTGAGGCACAACATATGTGCATCATAACTAACTAGTGAACATTTCCACTTCTCATGTTAAAATGTAGCCATGCACACGATATGTCCTGTAAGATCCCACATCGCCCAGGGGTGTGATCTTTAAATGTATATTCTCGTCCCTACCTAGCACGAGGCCTTTTGGGGGCTCACTGGTTTCGGGTTCCATAGGAACTCCGAAGTTAAGCGAGAAGGGGGCTAGAGCAATCCCATGATGGGTGACCCACTGGGAAGTTGCTCGTGAGTTCCCAAAAACAAAACCGTGAGGGAATAGTAAGCCCAAAGCAGACAATATCGTGCTACCGTAGTGGAGCGGGCCCGGGAAGTGATCCATCCCGGGCCGGGATGCGACATGTCCACCATGGAAAAAATTTCACAAATTTCTGCAATTGAACACTTGAACCAAAAATTGTTCCATCTCAGTCTTGTAGCACGTCAAAACTTGAAATTTATTCAACAACCCATATGCCCTAACATGAAACACAAACCTTAATTAACTTCTAAGTATTAATTCATGTTACAAACAACCCATTTATTCCATAAATCATTAATGAAGGAACTTGAAGCTAAACACCCTACTCATTATGCCTGCTGAAGCTTCAATCGCCGGAAAAAAATGGAACTATCCGACCAAAACAGAAAATATGGTACAAAACTCAGCTCACTCTTCTCACCTATCTCTCGCATCCCTTTGTTCGAAATCAGAGGTATAAGGTGAACTCAAAGCCCAACTCACTCTTCTTGCTTCTCTTTGGACTTTCATCTCTTTGAAATCGAAGCTTAGAGATCTGAGGAAATGAGGGAGAGTAGAGAGAGAAAGTGAGAGAAGATAGAGGAAAGGCAAGAGAGTAGAGAGAGAGAAATCAGAAAATGGGGGAGAGAAAGTGAGGAATAACTCATTTATATGTGGCTATTTTTGTACTTTCGATTTGTGCATGATGTGCATGGTCGGTTTATCCTATTTATGTCCCAAGATTAAAAAATTGTCCCATTTTAGGATATCTCCCTCTCAAATTAACCTTTAATTGTGATTTAAAACAGTAGAGGAAATACCATGTGCCTTCTAACACTTAATCACTAGTGGCTGTTATGTTAAGCCTTAAAATCTCTGTAAAATACTTTTTCGATCCGTGCCAACCTCCATCCTCAGCCCTCAACTACCCACAACTCTCTCTTTTCCAACGCCACTGCCTACGAACACCTCTTCTCTCAATCTCTCTCCTCTCCTAACAAAGTAACAATCATTTCCCCAGATGACCACCCCGACCGACATCCCCCCACAGAGCCACCACAGATTAATCGACACTCTACACTGGAGAGGTAAGTAACATGGAAGTTTATTAAATAGTCAATCCTACATAGGAAACGAAATAATTATAAAAAACTTTCTGATTTAGTATATGTATTATGTTTCCTTAACTCTGTTCATATTTAGTTGATGATGTTTGGTTTCTGGGTATTTAAATGTTGTTCATTTCCCTGTTTTGTTTGTTTGTTTGTTTTTAGTATCTTGGTTTGCATTCTTTAATAATTGCCACCTCTGCATTAGTGTCAAACTTTTCTTGTATATGTGATCCTGCAATAGTAGAGCGGAAAAAACAAGCTTTTTCTCAAGGGTTAAAAGGGTGTCGAGCTGTATTATTGTTGTCGGCATGTCTTTGAGTGCAAAATTTCCATTTTTATTTGTAAGGATTGACTGAATTGAGATTAGAGTCGTATGATTATGTGTTTAATTCTCTCTACCATGCTATGGTCAATCTGTTTTCGAATCATTCTGAATTTTTGTATCTTTTGGTAGTTATTGACGGATTGTTACTTTGCTCGATGTACCTAAAAGAGATGCAAGTTGTTTGGATAATGGTAGAGGTTCTATCTTGATAGATAAGCCCATTACAAAACACATGGAAACTATTTTTGAAGGGATGAACTTCTCTTTTTGGTTGTTTCTTGGTATTTTCGTTGATCCATTCGATCAAAGTTCTGTTAAACTACTGTTGTGTATAGCCAACAACTATTTGTGAAATATTAACTTTGTTTCATCAAATTTGCATATCAAAGTTCTGTTAATCTTGTAAGATTGTTTAGCTATTCCATTTTTTTTCCATAACTTGGGCCATGTTCACATCTAAAATTTATTGGTGATGTTATTCTCTAAGAATTATCAGGCTATTAGAAATAAAATTGATTTCTATTCTTTTTGAAAATTTTCAAAGGATTTGCAATTTAAGTTTGCTGTGGAGCTCTAAATGTGACATGAAGATTTTACTAAAATGGTTGGGTTATTGTGCACTTAGAGGAAGTTTACTGATTGGGTTTATTGTATGACAGTCACTGGCGGAGCTACAGCATGCCTAGTGCAGGCAGCGACGCCCACTTGAAAAAATAGTGCAGGCTTTGTCTTGTTGGTTTGCAGAGGCAAATTGATAATTATACAACTTTTTAGTGTAGTAAATCCCCCGCAAATCCAACCCCGTGTGATTTGATTGGCCCACTAAAGACCAAACACAAAAAACCAATTATTAAAAAAAAAAAAAAAAAAAAAAAAAAAACAAGGTTATAAGATAATAAAATAGTTAACTAAACCCTAGAGTATGCACTTTATATGCATCACAGAACAAGATTCATGAACACAATATTACAGAGGTTTCAACAGTTTGACTCACCTTGTTAAAGTGTGATACAAGTTTATGTCTGAGATTTATGAATCAAGAATGTCATATGTTGATTTTGAATTTTTAATATCCTGATGATTTTGTATTCAACAGGGTGCAAGTTTGGCTATCTTAATTGATTTGTTAATTTCTGATGGCGAGCTTTCTACAATGCTTCTCCAGCCATGCTCGTCTTTCTCGAACCACTCTTGTCCCAGGGTCCAAACCTTTTTTGGTGGATATCATTTGGGGAGGTCAAATCTGGTGAGGTAAGGATGGCCCTTGGCATCAGAAGAACATATTCATAGTGGAGTACAACCTTCATCATTTTCTTTCTACAACTTAGTCTGATTAATTATATGTTTTACTGACTCTTCCATGTTGAACATCATCCATTTCCTCGAGTAATCTCACAAATGTTAGGGAAATAGTTTTTGGTAGTACATTCCAATTGGGGCCTTTGCGCAAATTGTTATATTTCTGTGAAAATAAAAACTTTAGGCCATAATTTTTTTCTTTCCATGAACACACAAGTTTTGAATAGTCAGCAAGCTAGTTTTTACTTTGTTTTGTGCTTGGTAGTATCAGTTGTCCTTTTTCTTTCCTTCTAATTCTTTCATTGGCATACGTGACAACTTGTAATAGACTTACCAGTTACAACTACCACTCAACAAGGATCAGGGTAAGTTGAGAGGTGGAAAATCAACTTTACGTCTAGATGGAAGTATGTTTTGTTTTTTGTTTCATTTTATGTTCCTTTTTTTTAGTTCCAATTGAAAGAAGTATGTGGGTTTTGATGAATAAAATTCTATTGTATAATTTGAATTTTATTTAATTGTCAGGATTTTCTGTGTTTGAGGTATCTTCTATTGTAGTTAACGGCAATACATTTTTAACACTTTTTACATAAGATTTATCTTTGTGCACTAGGAATTCTGCTCACTGGTGTAAATGATATGTTAGAAATCATTGTCTTAGGTGTTTTCTGTTATTGTAAATAATGTAATAGCAGTATATAGGTATTATACTTTATGCTTAACGTAATCTTGTGTGCCAGGATCTCTACTAAACAATGTAAATGTTCTGTCGAAAATCATATTTGTTTTCTAATGAAGTTATCTAAATATCTGTTTATATTTCGTCTTGATTTTTTTTTTTGCATAGTGACTAATCAAGCCACTCTTCTTAGAGTCAATACCAAACCCAAACTACTTGACGATGATGTAATTGCAACATTTAACACCTTCACCCTTTCCCGTGCCCTCAACACAGCCACTACAGCAAATGAGACTCAGACCTAGAAGCTTAAGCGCATTGTCGACGAGCTCCTTAACCTCACAAAGCTTGAGAGGCACGATTATTCCTCATTTGCAGGCTGAAAATGGGCCTCAATCGGTACAGACTAGCAATCTCGAGTATTGGATCAGCATCTTCTGACTCTGGGCCTGCTTCTATAGAATCCAAGGTTGCAAAGAAGATTGCATGTGATATAAAGATTGAGAAATTTGACGCAGTGGCAAAGATCAAGATCATAAAGGAGGTTAGGACTTTCACTGAATTGGGACTGAAGGAGGCTAAAGAATTAGTGGAGAAGGTCCCTGTTGTGGTGAAGAAAGGGTTAACCAAGGTGGAGGAGAGACTATTGTCATATTTTATTTTCGATGGCGATTTTTGTGCTACTATTTCGATCATCTGCACTTTAAGCTGAATATTTTACAGTTATTTTTACACTCAGCATGAGTGCAAGAGGACAAAACAGACGTATAAATATCACTGACTACTGTTGTGGACTTGTTATTTCTCTCTTACCAGCAAATTGAACTGTATGTTTTCTGCAGTGCTGGAGGATGGATGGTTTTGGTAAGAATTGAAACAAAAGGCTTCTTTACCACTAAAAACATTGAGAATTGAACTAGAAGATTTTGCTCCATCCAATTTTGAATGCGATAACATTCAACCTTTTATCTTTGGGTTTTTATCACAAATTATCTCTGAAATTTACCCTCACCATCAAGATAGTCTCTGAAATTGAAAATCAATCAATGTAGTCCCTGAAAATAGGTGTCGCAAATCAATATGGTCATTCCATCACAATTCTGATAAAATTTCGTTAAGTGTTGATGTGGCACATAAATGGGCCCCATAAAGGTTTTTATCACAAATGGTCCTTGAAATTGACTCACACCATCAAGATGGTCCCTGAAATTGACCCACCATCAAGATGGTCCCTAAAATTGAAAATCGATGAATGTAGTCCTTGAAAATAAGCGTCGCAAATCAATATGATTCTTCGGTCACAATTCTGTAAAAAAAATTTGTTATGTGCTGATGTGGGTTTAATAATTAATTAAAAAAGTTGTCTAAATACCTTTTTGCACAACAATTTTTTTTCTTATAGTAGAACCTACTTCGAAGAGAGATCCTTTCCATAAATTCAAAGGCACAAGGCTTAACCAAGGCCTCAAAGGGGGTTTGAAAATAGTTTTCAACCAACAATAGACGCACCTCGGTTATAACCTCATTATATCAAGTCATACCTCGTCATTCTTTGAGTCACCAGACCACCAAGAAAGTCCCAAACAAACTCTCTAAGATTAAGGTTGTGAGGATGTTGATCGCCTAAATATTAACTGTGATGTCCTAGAAGTCGTTGCCAAGCAGCTAAGCCATCACCAAAAGTGATCTCGATCCAAGTTCAATTCGGTAGAAGGGTGTTGAAGTGTGTAAAGATGGGTATATTGAGATTTTTTTAGAGGATAGATAGCAAATGAGGTAGAGAAATATGGACTGGGATCGGAGGTGATTGCCAGATTGGGTTTTTGGGTTCACAACTTTTTATTAACTATTAAATTATTAAACCTATTCGTAATTTTTTAAATTTAATTAGACTTGTGTAATCCATTTGCGTGTCACATCAGCACATAACATAATTTTTGACAGAATTGTGACAGAAGGACTACATTGATTTGGGACACTTACTTACGGGACTACATTGATCGATTTTCAATTTCAGGGACCATTTTGATGTCGCAGGTCAATTTCAATGACCATTTGTGAGAAAAAAAGACTTATGGGACCCATTTCCGTGCCACATCAGCACTTAACGGAATTTTTAACAAAATTTGACAGAAGGACCACATTGATTTGTGACACCTATTTGTAGTGACTACGTTGATTGATTTTCAATTTTAGAGAATATCTTGATGGTGATGGTCAATTTCAGGAATCATTTGTGATAAAAACCCTTTATCTTTTAAAAGGGTTCACTTTGTAACTTGTACAAAAATAGAACTGCTTGGGATTCAAAAACTCAAATATGTTCTTCACACTTGTTTATAACAATTTGCTGATATCTAATCGTTGTGTTGTCAATAGTCGATCGTTATGTAGTTAATTTTTAGTGGGCCCACTTTCAAATATTAAATTTTTCAACCAAAATGGGGAATTGCATTTGCACATTTGTCCATTAAAGAGCTTTCCTGAGAATTTCATTTGCATCTTGCATTGGAGATGCTCAATGAGTTACAAACTAGGTTCATTTAAAAAAGCCACATTCTAACAGTTAGTTCCAATACCAGATTGGTTTTTTTTTTTTTTTTTTGGTCAAACGATAGATTTTGTTAGATTAGCCACTGACGAGGTTCGAACCTATACCGTCATGCAAAAACTCAACTCATATTCACCACTGTAGTAAAGAACCACTTGCAATACCAGATTTGTTTAACTTGTCCCATCCTTAGTTGAACTTTTAATTTTTGGATTGGAGATGGTCTTAATTTTGTTATACACATAGGCCTCGTTTACTATAATATGTCGGATAGCTTAATTCGTGCATGTGATAGTATTAAGTATTTGGTTATGAGTCATATTAAAAAGGTAAGAAAATATTAGATACCTGGAACAAGTAAGACTCATCAACAGACTATCTAGCCTTTCTTTTTCCATCTAATTGATTTATGTTCATCATAGAGTAACAAGACGATTAAAAGTCCTTTATTTTTCCAATCCAATCGCGTTTTTGATTTTGAAAAAAAAAATCTTTATCAATATACTGCCTTCTTCTACACATTTATCCCCAGAAAACCAAGAGGATCGAAAACTTCGGTGGAAGATTTAGAAGTCAATGAAATCATGTAAAAAATATAAACCTAGAAATGACATTGGAGAGGATAAGACTTGAGATAATTGACTCGATGCATTTGATTGATATTGATAAGATTAAAAGCACACCACAAAGTAGCACACAAATGTCTTATTGATTTTCCTTATTAACACTAAGATTTGTCAATTGTAGCATATGAAAATAACAGTCTTTCCCGCAGAAAATTGTTTTATCTAACTACTTAAAATGTCACAAAAACTGGGCTGCTGTCACTACTGACCAGCCACCGAAAAATAATTATTAGACTGACTTACACTTATCTAAAGTCTACGAAATTTTATATGCAGATACTAGACACACAGAGCTACACTCACACAAATTTTTTGGGATTTTTGGAGTTGATTTGCTATTTAAATTAAATCGAACAAAAAACAGAACAGAGACAGATTTTTGAGTAGTTCGCAAATTAAGAAAAACGAGTTAGGGGAATTGCTATCCACCACCAAATAATCATGCAAACATGTTATGTTTCATTCAAATTCCTTCTATTTTCGGATGAAGATGCTCAAGTTGACTCAATGTTAGAACCCAACCTATTACTCTTTCTTATGTAATATGTTAAGAGAATGGCGTTTTCAACTTAACTTAGTCCCTAACATGCAATCTAGAATGGTGTGTTCATAGATTTAACAAGTAGAAATCATTAAAACGAAAAGAGTTTGAGTCATCACAAGGCATCGTAAGTACTGGTGTTATCTTACTTATCCTAGAAATTGGTTCACATGTTAATCGCAATTAACAAGTACTACTCTAGAACATATGTAGGTCCTCATTCGACAAGGGCAGGCACACACATATTCATAGCATTAGAATCCTAGATATGCTTACTAAGTATGCATCCATAGAAAATACAAAAAGAATTCATCAATGAGACAAGTAGTGAACCAATTTTCATCCATTCGTAAAAGTAATTCAAACGAAATGTCATAACAAATTTGCAATCATATTCGGGGCTTCAAAACAGCCCATAACTACTAAAAATTAGTTACACATAATTCTCAAATTAAACCAAAAGAAAGACATGAGTTTGAGAAGATATAACCGAGAGAAGAGAATGCCAAGATTTCCTCCTTCCTTTCCTTCCTTCCCCAACGCAGCAGCCTTGCCTTTTTCCCTTGCTTTGCTTCTTTTTTTTCTATCTTTTTTTTGCACACTTTTTCTCCTTTTTGTTGCTGCAACCTGTAGGTCTTTTCTTCTTTTCTGCTGCCACAGTTTTTTCTCCACAACTCACCCCACTAACAGCCATTTAGTGATGACAATAAGTGGGAGGAAATGCTAAAACAGTTGTAACTCTTTGGGCAGCCTTTATGCCCATTACTCTCACTTAATTTTTCATTTCCTCTGATATTTGAATAGGTGTTAGCTGGCTTGTTCTTAGTTGCATCAGTTTTGGCTGTTAGTTTTATGGGATTTATTGCTTTCAATGCTTTCTTGTCAGTTACAAACTGCTCAGCCTCCTGGGAACCTTTCAGTGTTAGAACGACCATAACTTTTTCTAGAAAAATGATATTAACAATCCGCGAAATGCTCCAGAAAATAGACATCCGTAGCTTTCCAAGAATATAAGGCTCATTCTCTAATTCATTCTGAACTGTCCGCAACTTGCTTCCAAAGTCAGCTGACCTGCACTGGCAGTTTTGACGAATTTATTACTTAAAATTCCACTTGTGTTATTTTTCTTTTCTTTACTTGACAAATCCTACAAAACACAAAAATAAAGTAAATAACTCAAAAATATAAGGAACTAACTAAGAAAAGACAAGTGAATTTGATATAAAATATATATAAATATGAGCTTATCAGATATCAAAGGTTACAATATATAGGAATACAACAGACCTAATTTAGGTAGCTACGTAAATTAATACAGTTCAATCTACAAGAATACAATACATGTACTCCAATAAAGTCTAACTAATTCTAGAAAATGAGATATTATGGGCCTAACATAATCAAGCGAGTGACTATTTGCTACATAAGTGCACAACACAACTGGTTTTGCATTATATTTCCTATCCAATATGCTTTATACAGCATACCAAACTAGACTGTAAATATGTAGATGAAAAGGCGCTACCGAAGTCAATGAAGGCTTAGGAGGGTCACTTGACCTTTCTCACTTCCAAGTTTCTATTATAAGATTCTTTGTATTTGGTTTTTTTTGTATCAAAATATTTAAGGTTTTGACCCTTCTGGTCCATTGAAAATTATAATACTCCTGCATCTTCAAAGATATAACCCATGAATAAAATTTACCATTTTGTATTTTTTTTTTCTCTCTCTATTATGTCAATAATCACTAATTAGCTAATCAACTAATCCTAAATACTACAATTTATGTCTAATCATGTCATATTAGAAATGTAGAAGTTAATTGTTGACCCTAAAATCTACTTAGCCTACGTGGCGCGCAGACCGAATAGCTAATAAGCTAACTACGTCCCTCAGTTGAATGCGGGGTGTGCCAACTCGTCGGCCGAGCTCGGTCGGGGAGTAAAATGAATGTTGATGTGGTGTTGGGTGCGCTGTTGACTTCTTGATCTTGCTACTGTGGCAGAGGAAAGAACACATCTCGGTATTCAGGTTCTAGAGTCTGAAGACAAGGCTGCTAGTTCTGCGAAGTTTATATCGAATTCAACTTTCAGTGTGCCTGAATATTAAGTAACTTGGTAACACCTCACTTTGCCGAGAAGAATAATGAGATGACCTCTTCCAATAAAGACTCAGAAATCCTTGTTGGTCGAGACTTAGATAGATAACCAGTAAGTCTCGAAGCAGTGTTGTTTATCCAAACTGAAGGTGCTCCCCAATCGGCTGATTCTACGGCTCAAATGTTGTTTATCCAAACTGAAGATGCTACCAGTTGCCACCACAATGCTATTTATCCAAACTGGAGGTGTGTTGGCAGGAAAAAGGAAAATAAAAATCTCAAGGTCTTTGAGAGATTTCGCGTAGAGCGAGAGTTTGCGCAGAGCAATTTTGTGTGTTGATTTGGAGGGGTTTTGAATGATGCACTCCCTTTTCTATTTATAGTAGCAATTTCCTAGTGGCCGGGGTAGAGTTTTACTCGGGCTATAATTCATTAACCCAATCCGAATAGATGTCAACCAATCCTGACTCTTGTAAGACTCTGATCCAAGCTCTTTAATCACTCATATTCACCCTTGATTCTTGACATCCTTTCTGATTCGAAGCATTCTTGGCTTTTGATGATTCCTTGTTGTACTAGGACTTGGCCGCTTCACCTTTATCTGGATGGAACCTTCTCCTAATAGGACTCAGCAGAAATCCATTGGACCAGGCCCATGACGAAAATATTCCTGGTACCTCATACTGGACCGAGAACAATCATGGGCTCGGCCCAAAACATTATTTTGGGTCCAAATATTAATATACATAATACATCTAAAATCATCTTCAAACTATGATTTTGTGTTACTATATAAGTTTTGTAATTTTTTTTTCTTTTCCACTTTAAGCTTATAGATATTTAAGATTGACTTCTCCTAGTAAAATTTATGGTTTCGTCACATGTAAAAAGAGGACAAATAGATGTCGTTAGTTATATAAGATGTTTACAGTTCATGATGAGCTAAACTGGTCTGCATATCTTGTTTAAAATGGTGAGGCTGCTGCTATGTGATGATCATGCATGCAGGCTTCCTAAAAAGGTTGCAGATTTTCATGAGACTGCATGCAAAACCTCCTTTAACGGATCATGTCGATTTAAAATTATGTGTTGTGAATTAAAATTATGTCTTGTGAAACAAACAAATAAATTAACGATAATATTCGATCGAGCATGCTGTATTCGAAAGAGCATCTGGGAATCTGCCATATGTCGAACTCACACTCTATGGGACAGAATCTGCTTACTTATAAATAATGCAATATTAATTTTGGAATTGTCCTATAAGCCAAATATAAAGTTCCATTTTATTAAACTATGTCCTCCATAACCAAGACAACCACCAAGAGAGAGAGCTTTGATGCTTCCATGTTTTATGTGACTTTTGAGGACTCAATGTCCTCTTTGGACTCGTTCAAACGGCTATTTCAAAGAAAATATAATTAAGAAGCCAATTCCTTTTTTCTTTGGTTTAACGCATGCTGCTAGCTATATATTGTCTGTTCTCCTCAGGAAAAAAAAAATTATATGTATATATATATTTGGCATTGTTTTTTTAATTATAAATATAAAGAAATGAGGAATATGAATACATGATTTGAAACATGCAACGACCCATTGAAACAGTCAATTAGGTGGTCAAGAATATAATTTGGAAAGTTCATAAGAGAATATAAATTATTAGGACCAAAGTTGAACTTTCTTGTAATTTACACCAAACTTCTGAGTGATTTGCATATGTCAGAATCATTAGTTGTTAAGAGTGAACGAAAACAAATCAAATACTAATAGCGGACTGTTCAAATAAAAGAGAGTTTGACACAACGGAACCAATAAATAAGTATATTCTAATTTGGAAGCAAAATATACTATATAGACCATAATTTTACTTGATCACTTTACTAATAATAAAAAATGTAATAGGAACATCTCCTATATAAGGACGGAGCCAGGATTTTTTTCTTGAGTGGGCTAACTGAAATTAGTACCATAAATCATATGTTTATTTTTTTAATTATATAAAATTATATAATAATCAATATAAAAGAACAACAATAGAATATAAACTATTCTTAAAACCATAACCCTAACTGATAAATTCAAGGACCATGTAAATAATTAACCTACTAATTAAATCAAGAATAAGTAAATAAAGAGATTAAGAACGTATCAAAGGTGATATTCATTAAAAAATCGCAACGGAAAGTAATTAAGGAATTGCGGAAATAAGAGATTTTATTGTGGTTTGAAAAAGTTAATTTTCTTTTCTTGAAAGAAGCACATAGGTTAAATCGCATAGGATAAATGATCATTTTTTTTTACGAATAGGATAAAAGGGGACAGGGGATAGAACTAATTTTTAATTTTTAGCATAAAACGTATTATTTATTACCTATCGTCACTAAATATACATTAAATAATAACCTCTATTGAATAGTGCTATTCACACAAAAGAATAGTGTTATTCACACACCTATTTTTACCTCCAATATACCCCCTTATTAATTTTTTGTCATTGATCATCTTCAAATTCATTCGATCCAACATCCAAAAATTGAGAGAGGTGTGTGAAAAGTAAAAATGAGTGCATGGATAGCACTACCCTAACAGAAGACCTCTCTGTTTGACAAAAATAAAATAACATAAAAAATAAAAAATAAAAAAAAAAGCTCCGTGGGCTCCAGCCCACCTTAGCCTTATGGGTGGCTACGCCATTGCTCCTATAAAAGAGCATGACGGCGTGCGTTCGAACCTCATTGGTGATTAATTTAGCATCTAACCTAACAAAATCTGTCATATGATAAAAATAAAATAAAAAAGATATAATTTACATTATGTCCTACAACGATGGACAAAGACATTAATAACGATAGGAGCAAATATTACTCTTTCATATGTCAAAAATTAAATAAATTAGAAATTAAATCTTGAACAGTTGTTGAACTAATCAAAATCAACAACATATCGATCAAATATTGATGACAAAATAATTAAAAATTGACGACATGCCAATCAAATGCTGATGACATACCAAAAAACTAACCATTTGATGAGTAATCATCGCCAATTTCCTAAACCATTTGACAAAATGGAATCAAATGCCCTTCTTCTTTGTAGCATCAAAATGGCAGTCATTTTCAGGAAAAACAAAAGTTAAAGAAAAGGAAGTAAAGAGGAATATTGCAAGATGGTTTTGATTTGGTGGGGGAAAAACTAGAAAATAGCATTTGTTAGGACATAAATATAATATACTTCTAGAAGCACATGTTGGCAAATGACGACGATTTTTCAAGGACGGTAGGTTTGATACCCTAATTTTTGCCCGCTGGCTTTTTTGTCAGAATGCATACGGCATCTTCTTACCCATCCGAACTACTAATCAAACACTTCATAAATTTCCAAAACTGCCTTCATATTTTAATACACAAATAAAAAATCATCAGTACGTTTTCTTGGTCCAAGACACACACACACTCTCTCTCTCTCTCAAGAAGAATATAAAGATATTCAACTCTTGTCTCTCCATCTCTCAAAAAAAAAAAAAAAAAGAACAAATATTAAAAAATGTTTTATATAAACTATTCTTCAACATCTCTCGTCTTTTGATCCATTCCCATGTAATGACAGAACGGAATTTTCGCAATGAGATATTCCATCCCTCCCCACTTCCTTAAATGCTCATTCATGATCTCTTTCATCAATCAGGGCTACACACACACACACTCTCTCTCTCTCTCTCTCCCTCTCTCGACTGTTTTTTTAGGGTTTTATGTTTTTTCTCTCTCTAAATCATGGAAGACATAGATGAGGAGGAGGAGCTTCTGAATCTTAGCCTTGCAATTGTTACAAGTTCAGGGAGGGAGAGATTTAAGAAGAGGAAGAGATCAAGAGATGATGGTATTGCTAATAGTATTTTGGTGAGCCCTCTAAACTCTTATGAAGGTTGTGAAGGGAAGATATTTAGGCTTCTTCAAATGAGGGAACAAATGCTAAAAAAACTAGACCTTCACAAGAAGAAAGGGGTTGCTTTTGATGATGAAGATGGAAAGGGCCTCCACCTGATCCACATGTTGCTCATAACAGCCACCGCAGTTAACGAAAACAATGTCGGCTCAGCCTTGGAGCATCTCACTGAGTTGTACAAAATTGTTTCCTTATGCGGTGACTCTGTCCAACGAGTAGTGGCTTATTTTGCAGACGGCTTGGCTGCAAGGCTTCTCACTCGAAAATCGCCGTTTTATGACATGATCATGAAGGAACCGACGAGTGAAGAAGAGTTTGTAGCGTTCACCGCTCTCTACCGGGTGTCTCCGTACTACCAGTTTGCTCATTTCACGGCAAACCAAGCAATCATTGAGGCATTTGAGAAGGAACAAGAGAAGAACAATCGGGCATTACATGTTATTGATTTTGATGTCTCCTATGGATTTCAGTGGCCTTCTCTTATACAGTCTCTGTCCGAGAAGGCAAGCAGTAGCAATCGTATATCGCTCAGAATAACGGGGTTCGGAAGAAGCGTGGATGAGCTACGTGAAACGGAGAACAGACTGACAAGCTTCTCAAAGGGGTTTCGGAATCTTGTTTTTGAATTTCAAGGGTTGTTGAGAAGCTCAAAGCTCATAAACTTGAGGAAGAAGAGAAACGAAACAATTGCAGTGAATTTGGTTTTTCATTTGAATACTTTGAGCAATAATTTGAAGATATCTGACTTGTTAAATTCTGTACATTTACTTGACCCTTCCATTGTAATCTTGGTTGAACAAGAAGGGAGCAAAAGTCCTCGAAGTTTCTTATCGAGATTCATGGAGACTTTGCATTATTTTGCAGCCATGTTTGATTCTTTAGATGATTGTCTGCCATTAGAGAGTGCTGAAAGGTTGAGCATTGAGAAGAACCACCTTGGAAAAGAGATCAAAAGCATGCTCAATTACGACAATAACAACGAAGAGAATTGTCCAAAAACTGAAAAGATGGAAACATGGAAGGCGAAGATGGAGAGTCATGGTTTTGAAGGAATAAATCTAAGCTCTAAGTCCAAGATACAAGCAAGACTTCTTTTAAAAATTAGGACTCACTATTCTCCACTTGAGTTTGATGGGAGTAGTGGAGCTGCAGCTGGGTTCAAGGTTTTCGAAAGAGACGACGGAAGGACAGTATCTCTTGGGTGGCAAGACAGGTATCTGCTTACAATTTCTGCATGGCACTGCACTGTATCATAAATATATATATTTATCTTCTAACACATTCATTATTTTTGTAATCTCTTCTTCTTCAGATACAATAACTTTGAATTTAAGCAATTATTGTTTGCTGATTATCATATATATCAGATTGACTCTTTACACTAATATTGTATGCACTATTCTAAAAATCATCGCTAGGCAGCAGGCAACTATCTCGACTAATTCTCATGCATTTGAAAATTAAGAAAGGACACCTAAATGCAAGGCGATTGCCTCATCTAGGTCGTGACTCTCACTTAGACAAAAGCTAGATAACTTTCATTTTCATTTAATTTTTCAATAAATTGTAAGAGATTTGTTAAATACTTGGATGAACATTCAATATACTTGTTCCTCAGATTTTCAATATGTTCTAACACTTTATAATCTACATGTCATTTTATTTTGCAATTTATGGGTCCCAATACAATCATATGTATTCTTAATGTATAGGTAGACATTTATATTTATATGTTATATAAAAATTAAAAATCCGTATAGTCTGTCTAGTCTGCCCAACCCGCCACCCGGCTAGTGTATAACGTCTTTTAGAACTTTGATTGTATCAATCATATAATAAGTAATTCCAATTTACTTCATCTGTTTTAGTATGAATTAATTAAGAACGTCTTCCAGTCCGCTATATATAATAATTGACATTACTTCATCACTTTACTTGAGATATGAGGAAAGTATTTGAAGGAATGATGGATGAAAGAAGAGTGGTAAGAGGGAGAGAAAGAAATAAAGAAGAAAGAATGAAGACATAACAACTTGAAATAATTTTAGTTTTCACTTTATGTACATGTCTTATACATTTCATCTACATTAATCACCATTTTGCCTTAGGCCGGCCGGTCTTAAGAAGAGTCTGGTGAGACAGCAGCCTAGGGTCCTCGATCGAGCAAGGGCTCGTGTTAGTCTAGAACTTATGTGCTAAGTTAGGACTTTTGTCAATAGGCTTACTTGACTATAAAACTACACACATATTTACTTGTAATTGCTATTGTCACTCAATCATCTAATAGGATAGACTTAGAAATATAGTAGTGGCAATTCAAGGTGGATTTCATAAGAGAAATGAAATAGCTTGGTACAAATTCAAGGTATGATCACATGCACTACATTTCATGCATTTGCACTTGGGATTTTCATATATACTCCACTTGGGATTTTCATATGTCAAGAAACCCTAATTAGATGTAACTATAGTTTAACCCCAACAAGTGGTTGCAGGGAAAGGTGTGTCAAACCCTAAATAAAAATTACCATTTTGGCAGGTAAGTGAGCACTAATACCGCAAATTCATCCTATGAATGAGAGATTTTTCAGTGTATCCGGAATATGGGGCGTAATATCTTATGTCATTGTACAATTGGAGGACACTTAAAAAAATTACTTCCAATGATATAAAAACATGTAGTGTTAGTTTTCTGGGCACACTAAAACATCTCTCCCTATGCATCATGGTACTTACACACATGGGATGGCCTTTCATACATATTCCCTTTATTTTCCTCGCACCACGCACCATGCAAACCGCTTACTCTGTCTTTATCAATGATTGCAAATAGTTCAACCCCCACATGGCATTTTGAGTATGATCATTGTTCTAAAAATTGTGTTAGTCAGATAATGGGTAGGGATCTAGAGCTTGGGGACTAGGAGAGAGCTTAAGCAGGGGCCTAAACGGTTCTTTACTTAATTAAATTTATTATATAACATATAAAATAAGTGTTTGTTTGTACTTAAAAAAATACAATAATTGTATTGAGAAACATAAATTTAAAAATAGAATAATACATAAATTAAGTACTCCAATTTATTGAAACATAATGAATGTTTATCCAAGTATCCAAAGTATCCAACAAAAGTCTCACAATTTATTGAAAAATAAATGTAAAATGGAAATCATCTATTTTTTGTTGAGAGATAGAGTCGCGACCCTAAGTTATTTTCTAAAAAAAATAAAAGAAGTCACAAAAATGCCAAGCCCGTCTAGGTGTGCTTTTTTTATTTTTAAAGGTGTAGGGATTAATTGTCGCAGTGGCCAACTGTCTAGCGCCTAGGTAGGGCCTAGGCGGCCACCTTTTAGATCATTGTCCGAGTATGAAGATGTTAATGTATTCAAGGCGACTATCGAGCTGCCATTGATAAATCGAGTTATGGAGCAATATACAGGAAACATTAATATGAATTACTTGTAAAAGAGAAGGCCAAGGAACTCAATTGAGTTCGAGATTTAGAAGTCATCAAGTTTGTAGACATACATCACGCTAGCAGCACGTTGGGTTTCCGATCATATTATTGAGATTAATTTAATTTGAATAATTAAATACGTAGTGGATAATAACAAATAATATACAATACACTATCCAAATGGTTGGTTGTAATTGTTACAGAAACAAAGTAAGAACTTGTAGAGATTGACTTACTTGAAATCTCTAGCTACGTGCATGCCTCATGATTGGATCATCCCTTTGCTTGCAATCTTCATCTTCCTGGTTGATCACATGAAACTCCCGTTGAGCCTCTAAGAGCATCCACACTGATAAATCTAGCAACAGTGATAAAGTGATTGATTTAAATGTGCTAGCAATATCTCTCACTTTGATCAACATAGAAAGGGCGGCACTAAGGTGTTTTGGCTTCGGGTTTTTCTCTTTTTTTTTTTAGGGACAAAACTAAACAACTTTTGCATTGTCTTTATGAGAGAAACACAAGGATTATTTATAGACTCATTGCTACACCTCCCAGGCGACATGGGCTTTGTTTCATGCGCTTAGCTCAATCACTTACCCACTTTGGGTTTGTGACTTAAATCCCTTTTAATTAAATAAAGTCAATGCCTATTTAATTAAAACATGTCCAGAAAGTCCAAATAATTAATCCAGTATAATTAAAAATTAATTATATCAAATCATCATCCATATAACATTACTAGAACTTATCATATGTGTGCGACCTCTTAGTAACAAAAGCCGGCAGTGAAATTAATTAATGAATTAACCTAAGTGACACCTAGCAGTATATCATGGCTACATGGATTAGTACAAGTATATGTGAACTAATTATGATACTCTTTTGTACCTTTATAGTAGTTACAATGCAATTAGATTCTTCTATCATCCATATCCCGATCACAATTTATGTAATATGGAATTATGTCAAATCATATACAATTATCTATGATCACCATGATACATCTCATGTTAAAGCAGTTGTTACAAACATAGCTTAATTAACAGTTACTCTGGACAGAGATTTACGAGATGGATCTTCAAATGGCTTCGAGGGATATATCCTTCTATTGAACAATTATACCAAAATGTGATAGATTCCTTATTGCACATTCATGTACCTCCATACTTATACATGTGAACCCGAATATCACACTATTGGCTTTGCAGTCTCATTGAGGGCTTTGAGGTGAAATCAAAGTTATCTACAAGTATAAGATAGCTATGATGCCTCAGGACTAAGAACTATTTGCATACTACAACCAGAAACCTTGTAATGTTTGATGCGTTAAAACTTCTTGGACAATCATTGTTCAGTGAACTTGTTCAACAAACAAGCACTTGTATATCCATCATGTATCCAACATGCGTAGCATGAAACCGTGCTAACCTTACTGCGATATACACCAGCCTATCTGGTTGATCACTGTCCAGTTGACTTTCCAAACAATAGCATTATTTTTCCATGTGATTGGATGTGGTTGTGGTTGAAATTTTATATTGTGTTTCTACTAGATTTGTAATCATGGAATTATATTTTGGGGTGATGATGTTTTTCCATGTGATCGGCTATTTCTTCGTTGTTTTCCATCGCAAAATTCTGTGAAATTGCCGGATCCACCATCTTGCAATAACGTAAAGGCTTATCAAATTGGGGAATTTTTTTGTATACCCACATCTGCATGTATTCCTTAATAAATTAATGCTCAATCACATTAATAAAGCCAATTTTACCAACGAAAGCAGCACATATTACTTGAAAACCGTACGAAAATCCTTTACAACCCCATCTAGACCACAACCCTCTTCGTTCCCCTAACTTCTTCTTTTTCTTCCTCCTCATCTCCCTCACCATCTCCCTTAACTGTACCTCTACCTCTTCATAAAGCATCAAACGAAAGGTTGCCATGAAATTGTTCGAAGAAGATGGAATCCCATGCAAAGCTGTTTAACCTATCTTTTTCTTTCACGAGGTAGAGGTAGTTTAGATTCACAGCAACGCTTCTTTTTGCCCCTATCAATACAGCAAAATAATATACCAAACCTAGCTTAAAGGCATTTTTCTTGTTCTTGCAATTCTTAAATGCCATTTCAAGCTCCCCATATTGGTGACTTTCTTGGTGGCAGATGTGGCTTTACCTTCCCCCTTTTCCTTCCTCCCCTTGCTACTTTCAGCTACCAAGCCTAATTTATTGGGAAAATACTCCCTTAGCAGACTAATCCTTTGTGGTTCAAGCTCTATGTCATGGGGTTCGTCACATCGAAGCCTGGTAATGAGGTAGAAGTCCTGCTTTGTGAACCGGGTCAATTTATAGCCTATTAAATAAGTCAGCCCCTCTAGGTCTTTAACCCCTTGATTTGCCACTCTATGGAATGACAACTCATGGACCAATTGCCTAATGATGACCAATTCATCCACACTCTGCAGGTGGCCAAAGTGTCCTAAAATCACAAAGTTGTGCCTCATTAAACTTCTCCCTAAACAATCCTAACACATAGGGGGCCTAGGATAGGTTGTTAACCCTTCCTTATACGCTTCTTCTTCTTGGGTTGCTAGTTGAACATCCTGGGTTGTTATATCCTGTACATATAACAATACACAAACAACAATCAACAACACATAACCTTACAACAACCTATCACGAAATTTCATAGTTATACATCTACTGTGAACAGAGTATCATTACTTAAGCAATTTCATATCCCACCACAAAATTAACAATAACAACAAATAACCTTACAACAACCTATCATCAAAGTTTCATAGTTATAAATTTTATTGTGAATAATGCTCATTACTTGAGAAATTTCAAGTCCCACCCATAAAATTAACAATCATTCAGATGAAAAAATCAATCTCTACCACCATAAAATTAGCAATAATTC